GTACGAAATAGTGTCAACCTTAGATATCCTTGATATCTTGGTATTCGATTATTGGATGAATCAACCAAATTAATATATTGGATTGAGTGACAACTCAATCCCACTGTGGCCACAAATTTATTGTCGTTGCCAATATAACCGAACTGCACGGTTAGATAATTTCTTCTGTACCCAAGAGTGATGAATCATCTTTTGATCCACCATAGACTCAATACACTTCTCGATGTAACCAATCACTACCATTTTGATAGCCCTGGATAGGACTACGTTGGGCTAGTGTCAAACTATAGTACCGATTCGTATACAATACACTCTAGTGATCTCAAGTCTAAGGATCACATGCACCACCATCCATTAGAGGACTTATTCCATAAACACTAAGGTTACCATCTATGTGAAATCCTTTAGTGGGTCTGTCCAATGAACTTGCATATAGTAAGCACCTATGTGTTACACCAGGTTGTCACCAAACAACCTTGACAAGTGAGATTAGTCATTGCCTTTCGATAAGGTCATTCAACACTATGATAGCCTTACTATATTATATGTACCCTTAGTTAAAATAATAATGATCTAGCCTACTTGGCGTTGTAGATGCCTGACTTGGCCTCTACCAACACTAGAAGGCCAGTTCGGGCTCACAATGCCGAAGAGGCTGAATCTAGCCTTTTGTCGTCGAGAGGGGTCGGATTCGACCCTCTTAACACTATTAGAGCCCTTCCTTAGCCTTCACTCAACTTAGAGAACTAATTTGGCCTCGGGTCAACTTGTTAAGGCATTGCCAACTGTGAGAAAGGAGGAAGAAGATGGGACAGAGAGAAAAGAAAGAAGAAGTCGGATAGAGGAAAAAGAAAAAAGAATAAAGAATAAAGGAAGCAAGAAAAGAGAAAATACTAAGGTTTCCTATGACCGGTGAAAAGTCATAAATGCCCTTCTTTTAAATTGAAAATACCAAATTCACCTAATTTCCATTTAGTTTTAACGGAATGGGGACTAGGATCCAATTTACAAGTGGGCGTTTTTGTTAGTAAATCGATGAGCAGAGGTGGCAGGAAAATAAAATTTTGCCCAAATCCATACAAGGATTATATTATACCAGCGTTTGGAGACTCCGTTAGTGTCTCTGAATGAGATTCGCTACCGATTTGAGAATGGAATCAAACTTACGTCATCCACACGACGACATGAAGACAGTACATTGGAGACCAAGGATTGATTTTGCTAGAATCAATTCTTGGCTTTAAGGATGGTATTTAGGATGATAGAGTGAAGAGAAGAAGAGAGAAAATTTCTCTCTTAAAATGTCACCCACCGCTCAAATGAGAGAATAGCTCTCAAAACCTATTTTTTGCTTTCTTTATATAATAAAGAAAAATTTCCATTCCACCCCCAAAGTTTGGCAACAACCCAAACTTTTTTGGAATCGCATATTAGTCCCTATTTAATTATTTAGTTAAATATTACTATTAACTCTAATAATTAAATTTGTAATTTTGCTAAATTACTCCAATAATAAAATTGGACATAGGCTACAACCTCAGTAAATTTAATTACATAGCAAAATTACCAATATGCCCATTTGTCTAAAAGACAAATATGACCTTCCAAAATTTACCATCTTTAAACTGTCTTCTAAGTGTGTGACCCATAGGCTCCTCATCATATCGACAATGAGTAGTATCGCGATTGACACCAATCAATTGTCTCACTACACACAGACTAAGATTGGCCCTTAGCAAGGCATCATGACCACCCGATAGATTCAGATTCAGCGAAATAGCTTCCTATCAACGATATGGTTACCATGCAATCAAATCTTTTCATCATTTGTTATCTCATCGAGACTGAGGTATAGAAATAATGTCAACCTCAGCTATCCTCAATACCTTTGTATTCAGTTACTAGACCAATAACCTGAATAATAAATTGGATTGAGCAACAACTCAATCTCACTATGGCCACGGCTTTAGTGTCATTATCATATACTAAATCGCGCCGTGAGATAACTTCTCTCATACCTGAGATTGATGAATCCTTTGTCGATCCACCATAGTCTTGATACACTCCTCGATGTAGCCAATCACTACCGTATTGATAGCTCTAAATAGAACTACGTTAGGCTAGTGTCAAACTACATCAATCGGTGCACAAAGCGCTCCGATGATCTCAAGTCTAAGGATCACATACACTAACATTCATTAGAGGATTTATTTCATAGACACTGGGGTTACCATCTATATGGAATCCTCTGGTGGGTCAATCTAGTGAACTTGCCCACAACAAGCACCTATGTGTTGCACCAGGTTGTCGGAAAACAACCTTGACAAGTGAGATTAGCCACTGCCTTTCGACAAGGTCGTTCAACACTATCATAGTCTGACCATATTATATGTGTCCTTGGTCAGACTAATACTAGGGCTACGAACATTTCTAAAATGACCACCATATGTGATCATAGGGTTCTCATTACCAAGATTTGAAACATTTGATACCCTCGTCACGGTTATACCATCCTAAAGACATATATCAATACAAATCAATATGATTTACATGATATAGAATAAAATGTCTTTTATTGATTAATGAACATTATTACAAAGAGTCCAATCTACGATATTTGATTGGCTCTAGGGCACCAACTCTAACAATTTTTTATAATCATGTGAAACCATTGACTTAAAGAAAATTGGGAAATTTTATAGGGTTTTGTTGTAATTTTTCTTGATGAAAGGTAATTTGGAGTAATTTTAATAGGGTTTTCTAAAATTTTACTTCATGTTAGGGGCTATAAAAATTGGAGTGATGATATTTTCCCCCCACATTTTATCTTTCAGGACCTCATTTCTAAGTAGGGATGGCAAATGGACCTGGTTTTTAGGGGACTTGCCTCGGCCTGCCCCATACGGGCTTGGGATTCCCCATTTTTGGGGGGGATGGGGACGAGCTTGGGGACAATTTAAATCCCCGGCTCTGGGGACAAACTGGGTAGGACCTGAGGACATCCTAATCCCTGCCCTGCTCAAATATTTTAGCGTATGCAAATGTCTTTATAAGCCCCACCTATTTCCAAAAATACCCCTTTATTTATTTATTTTTAATATTTTTTATGCTTCTCATTTTTAATGTAATTTTTAGAGATGAAATTCATTCACATTTGTTTTTACTTCCAAGATTGTGAGAATAAGTTTTAAATGCATAAAACTAACTTATAAATTTTGAAGAAGTGTAGAAGAAAAAAAAAAGTAAAGAAAAATCAACAAAACAACTTAAAATTGCGAAGCATAAATTCCATTTCCAATTTACTTACATGATCTTGATCAAACTCTTTCAACTGCATAAATTTTTGCCCTCATTGTTTGGAAATAAAATTACAGTTTATGATTGAAAGAGGAAATAAAATATATAGATACATATAACTCTTTTGTGTCTTACATAGTAATTTTAATAGGGATAAAATTGTTATTAAAAATTCAACAACAATTGGGGTCTAAAGAGATAAAATATGAGGGGCCAATAACCTCACTCTAAAAATTGTTTAAGGGTTAATATAATTTGCTAGGGGTTATCAATAATTTTTTTTTTTTAAATATGGTATAATATACCCTAAAGTCTACCAAATGTCATATCCGACCCAAGTCCAAGTACATATGAGGCCTAATAACTGTTCGAGAGACTTGACCTAGAAGCATCAGAGAATATGTCAGAGAATCTTTTGAGAAGCTTCCAAAATGTTTCTTAAACAAAAAGGTAGCAAAATGAGACTAAAATTCTATTTTCTGTATAATTAATGCTAGTCGTCCATTTTAAAGGACATGTACAAATCTGGACCGTCAGATCTATTTGTAAATTTTTATATAAAGCTAGTTAATCTTTGGTTATTTTCATATTCCAAGTATTGTATACAATTGAAAGCAATACAATCAAGTTATTTTATTTCCATCTCTGTTCTTCGTGTTCTTATTCTTATTGTTCTTTGTTCTTTGAGAGTTTGTGGGTTATTTAGGTTTAGTGTCAAGGTTGTGACACAAAGCCTAACCCTGACCCAAGTATGCTTTGAAGCTTATTTTCAAGACCTGGCTTGAGTATAATTTATGTCTGGCCAGACTAAACCGGAGTAAGGTATATTTTACATTCCTGGCTAATTCTTTATGCTAACACAATGTCTTGTTTGTAAAGATAGAAATGCTCTAATATCAACTATCAACTGAATCCAAAAACTACTTTATATACTATAATTGACATTAACAAGCCACATTTTTTGTACTTTAACAATGAACATTTATTGTACAAAAATGATTGTGTTAAGATATCAACGAGGGTAGAAAGAGATGTTGATTAAGTTACAATATTTTGAATATGAGGCTCTGTGAACCAACTCAAGCCAATTAAGCAAAACATAACCATATACAGATATTCTCCATAGACAAAATTATTTATATATTTCGTCATGCCCCAATATCAATAACTTATTCGTATAAAATTTTATGTTGCCCCGTGGCGGTTAATATTTAGCTAAATAGAAAATTGGGTACCTTTCATAGTTTTTACAAGAAGTGGGCTTGATTTAGTGGACTAATAACCTACGGAAAAAAAAAAATTAATCCAACCATAAATGCACAACTGCATATGAATTATAACATATTAAATAGTAGAACTGTAATAGACTCATATAATAATATGTAACTTGTCGAGTTTACATTCTAAGTTCAATAACCCAAACCTTTAAACTATTAGAAAACAATAATGTTATGTTTACTCACGAACTTACTAACCATCTTACTAACCTTTATAAATATAAAGCATAATAAGAATATCATAAGCATAATACTGATACCATATATAGTTTTAACAAAGATGAGTAAGGTGATTAGTACGTTCGTGAATAAACATAGCATTTTAAAAAAAACTCTTGGACCCACAGATTTGGAGTATCCTATTTACACGCAATTCATAATGTTCATCAAGCAATCGATATTTTACAAACTCGCAATCTAAGTATATGGCTAAAGAAGAGTTACTTTAATTTGTATAAAACCTGAAAATAATCAACTATTTAACTGGAGAGTTCAGTTTAGTAAATGAGAACACAACAATTTTATTACAATGCTTTATTAATTTCCCAATCCCAAACATGACAATAGATAAGAAGTGCAGCAACTAATAAATGTATTCTACATTTCTACCGAGCGTCCTTTGATAAGAGACTGTTGGTTTCAACTTTCCTGGCATTGCAAAGCTCATCCGCGCTGTCACCTCTCTCAAAAACAGCGGCTGCCCCCATCCCTGTGCCTGTATCAACAATACTCAAGGTCAACCACCACCCAAAGCAGTATTGTATCAAAGGAAAGAGAAAAAAAGAATACCTATGCACATTGATATCACTCCAAAGCGGCAGTCCCTGCCTCGACGCTTCATCTCATGCAAAAGTGTGGCAACACACCGTGCACCTGTGATGAACACAAAGTAGTCGAAAGTGAATACATAAAAATTGGTGTAGTGGCGCTGCATTACATATTTGTATACTTAGCATTACAATTATTTCTGTTACACAGTATATACTTCTTACTAATGTACCCAGATTCTCAAGGATTCAAGTAATCTTGCTAAATAAGAATTCATTTAAATCTCACTTGTCCCCTAGAAACCAACATCCAACATTAATATTTTGCATTGAAGTCAAACACAATTCTATCAGAGACCAGGTGGACTCAACACTCACAAACGTCTACTCAAAATTCAAATATTTTGCATGTAGCCATAAACTGTAAAAAAATGTCAGCAATTAATAAAAGTAGAATGCAAGCACAAGCATCATATTACTTATTAAGCAATGTTTCTGTCATACAAGATACCTAAAACATACTATCTACATAACAAAACAGGTCCAGGAGACTACTTAGTCCTGATAAAATGGAGGATAAGGTTAATATCTAGAAAAAGCTCAGAAATATGAGTTCAAAACTTTTTGCTCCTCTGACAGCCAGATGAATTTTTTTCTAAGGTAGCTACAACACCAAGCCAACAGACACAATTATCAGGGAAACCATTTTAGCCAACCATCAGTATACATCTTTGACTTTCCTATTTTGAAATTTTTATATTGACAAAAATATGACCCTAAAACCTATATCTTCCCCTCCCCAACCCCTTCCCAGTTGGATTAAAACCCCCAAGGGCAGTTATTTTCTTCATACCAAGTTGTTAAAGAAAAATGAAGAAATTATATTCAATTGTGAATCCATAAAATCTTGATTGCTTTCAATAGCTCTAGTAAGTGAGTAACTAAGATTGGTAGATTTAAAATCATATTACTTATACTTGATTAATACAATTTTGAGTAATAATTAATTACCTGTTGCACCCAAAGGATGTCCAATGGCCATTGCACCTCCATTAACATTGATCTTTTCTGGATCAAGTCCAAGCTTGTTACGGCAATATACATATTGGGATGCAAATGCCTGCACAAGGTGCAATAAAACAATTGCATAATTAGGAAACCATGATAACTACAATAAGAATTAAAAAACAGATGAGGTTAGGCAATACAAAGTTTAATACCTCATTTATCTCAAAAAGATCAATATCATCAAGTTCAAGACCAGCAGCCTTAACCGCAGCCGGAATTGCCACAGCTGGGCCAACACCCATGATGGCAGGATCAACACCAACAGCAGCAAAAGTCCTGCACATCATTACTTCAATTTAAGTAAAAGAGCTTCACCTGTTTCTCATCGCCAATAACTCATGAAAACTGAAGGACCAAAGCATCTTAAGTAAATTGATTGCAAGTCAACCAAGAATGTGAATGGTCAATTTACAGATGTTTACAGGGACAGTCAACTCCTAGCCAGAAGAATCTCTACCATCATGAAGCCGCAATAACAAAATGACAAGGCCACAAAACAGAGAAATCTCAAGCTAAGGGTAATATTTACTACAAGCATCATCGTTAGCATCAAGAAACCAGTTCCTTCACATCCCCACAGCATGGCTTACATAATTGTTAACTTTTCAATTTTCTTACAAAAAGGTTCTATCAGGAAAAATATCAAGCAAACAACAGAAGATACAGCTTCCTTGAATTAACTGAAAGAATTTCAACTGTTGCACGTCTCTTTCAATGTTTAAATTCCAAAAGAGACCCCAGTTTGGAGTCAAGCTAAAAGTGTTTAATTGGTACTAATGAAGCTCAAAACAAAAATTTCACTAGGTGCCACAAAAGAAACCTATCACAATAAAAAGAATTACTAGACGCTACTTATGCACCACGATCATGACCAAACAGAAGCTTAGGAAAGATCCACTACAAATAAGCAATTACAACTACTCATGTCTATGCACAATTCAGATGATCTAATTAACTAGGCTCTTGAATATGCAATGAATGTCACCAAAATTTGGGAGACACAAAGCCAGTAATTTTTTGTAAATGTCCTTGATTATGTCACAAGCTCTAACAGTTTTAGGCATTTATAAGACAGATATACAACAAACTTGTAGGTAAAAGAGACCTGAAGACACCAAGAATGGGTAAGCCTTTACGAATAGCGACACTTCTCTTCATGAGCAGAACAGCACCAGCACCATCACTCACTTGACTAGAATTTCCTACAATGGAGGTGCCACACAATCAGTCAAACCCAAAATAAACCGATGAAAACACAAAGAAAGAATAGATGCTGCACAATCCTATACCAGCTGTGGTGGTCCCATCTTTCTTAAACACGGGCTTCAACTTTCCCAAATCTGATAATGATGCATTTGGTCGAATCCCATCATCAACTGTGATTGTAACAGGTTTCTCATCACCAGTTTTCGGGTCAACAATCTTCATACAGGAAATGTGTATTAGTGCCTCAACAAAACATGGGCAGAAGAGCATAGAGGATGTATTTCAAACAGATCACACTGCTAAACTGTGATACAGAAAGTAGATACCTTGGTAACCACAGGGATGATTTCATCTTTAAACTTGCCAGCAGCAGTAGCAGCAGCAGCCTTCCTATGAGACTCAACCTAAAAAAAGTATAAGATAAATATCACATGATCCCGTTAAAGCACAATACAGCACACCGATTAATTCATTTAACTCACAGCAGCCTGGTCTTGCTCCTGCCTTGTCACACCAAAACGATGTGCAACATTTTCTGAAGTAATACCCATGGGAAGAAGGCAGTTCTGGGCTTGTTCAAATTTCTTCACCTGTCATAGTTAAAAAAAGGAAACACGTCAGGACCAAATAAACTTTTAAAATGCAAATAACTGGGAACAGAGAATAGTTGTATACTTTTGGATTGACTGATCCTTCCCAAGCCATTGGATTGGCAGTCATGGATTCCAACCCAGCTCCAATACCTAAATTCATTCAAAAGAATTTGAAGAAATAAGTAAAGCCTTCAAAGATAAATCAACAAAGAGAAAAACGAAAAATAATAAAGATGACGTTACCAATATCATAAAAGCCAGCTTTAATAGCAGCAGCTACATCAGCAACTGCCTGAAGACCAGATGAGCATTGCCTATTGACAGTTCTAAGGGGCACAGTATCTGCAGTGTATATACAATTCAAAAAATGTATACAATTAAATCAGGACCTATTATAAGAAATTCATGGACATTCAAAGAGAAATATATACCAGGGAAACCAGCATAGAATGCAGCCATCCTGCATTCACTAGCTCTTTGGGACCCTGGAGCCAAAACCGATCCCACAACAATGTCCCCAACTTCACTCGGATCCAAGTTTGTTTTCTCTATCAATGCCTGCAACCATATGAGTAACATACCAGATAAATAATTAATATATATATATATATATATAATCTTCCATCTTTACATTTGTTAATGATGCTTCTGGACAGTTTGTAGAGAATGCTTCAGAGTAAAAGCCATATTACAAAAGGATTATGATAGGCCAAAAACCGTTCACATCTACTTAACAAACCTGATTTCGACCCCTACAATCTTATTGATTAACCGGATAAGTGGACACAAATTGACCATCTGAAAATGCTTTTGACAGTCATAAAATGCTTCCAAATACACCTTTCTTACAACACATAACAATTAACAGTACATACCTTCAAAACAGGTGCAAGTAAATCATCCGGATAAGTGTCCTTGAAACCGCCCCTTTTTGATTTGCAAAGTGCAGTACGATGAGCTCTGTAACACAAAATTCATTAACAAAAGGTTGAAGAAATCCAACCGGACAAGATAATCATTCATTGATCATCAAATCAACTTACGCCACAATCACCACATCGTCTCCATAAACAGATGCCCTATGATACGCGGAGCTATCCCCTGCAGCACATACTGCTGCCTGGTTCCCATCATCAAACCCAATTTTCATTAATTTCCACACAAAAACAATCTTTAACAATTAAAAGCACAATCTAAAATTCAAATTGTAACTTTAACACCAGAGAACCTGTTTGACATACTATCCTACCACCATTTCTAGATTTAAAAACTATCCAAATTAAAACTTAAACTTAAATTGACAAGTGGACAATGAAATAATAAATCCAAATCCTAAATTAATCCGATCCGAAATTCAGGTAAACTTTCAATTACAATACTGCTACAACTATTTCTGAAAAGAACAAATTCATAAAGAATTTATTTCTGAAAAGAACAACTATTTCTAAAATAATAAATCCAAATCCTAAATTAATCCGATCCGAAATTCAGGTAAACTAAAATTACAACAACACTGATACATACAATAATTTGTGAAAATTTGAGATTCTAAGAACTGAGTAAACGGAAACAGAAGAATGATAAAGAGAAAGCAACATACGGAGAGAGCGGACTCGTAATTGTGAGAAGAAGAATTAGAAGGGCGGAGGTGCTCCAGCAACACTTTCTGTCTGTTGATTGCTTTCTCCATTTTCGACGAATCCGAATGTGTTTTGTGTAAACGTTAATTTTAATGGAAAGACGAGGGTGGATATAATTTATATTTATTTAATACATTCCAGAAAGAAAGAAAGAAAGAGATGTTACGAATTATTGAAGTGCGTGAAAAGATTTGAACGGTGATGCACATCCTCTTCTACTCCACTCTCCCTTCTAACGCGTGTGTCCTTTTCGACGCCACATCCGTCTTTGAATTTGTTAAATTATAATATTTTTTTAAAAGGAAAAAGAAAATTATTTTAATCTGAAGTGTTTATCTGAGTTTATGAAATTAGCTATAAGTAATTATGTATTTGATTAAAGTATTTATAAGTGACTAATAAATAGTTGACGTGTTTGGTAAAATGTGGCTTATAAGTACATTTTATTATAAAATGAATAAAAAACGATTACATTAAACAAGAGTATAATATGAAATTTTAAAATTAAATAAGGATAATGTGGTAATAATTTGGTCAAACTAGCTTATAAATTTTTTTTTTTTTTTTGTGTATAAGCTCAAAAAAATTATAAACAAATAGATCAGCTAATTTTAGAGCTTATAAGCTAATTTGACCAACTTATAAGCTTAGACAAACACCCCTTAAACTTCATGTGCATTCGCTAACATACTCGTTTTCTTCTTTTTCAAATTTTTTATTCTGAATTTCATTTAAAAGCCAACATTTTTTACACGAGAAAAATAAAAAAGGAAAAGACAATTGAAATTATCTCACTTTATTATAATATTTCATATTATTAAATATGAAACAAGAAAAACTACAAAATAATGTTTTAAGTGGATAATAAAAGTTGAAATAAAAATCAAAATATATGATTTATAAAAATAAAAATTTCAAAATTATAATTATAGATGGCAATGGAACATGTTGTGGATCTTAAGTAATTATATATACATCCATTCATGTTCATATTAATTGATTTAATTTGAATTTTGGATAAAGTGAAGGATTTAAGTGATCTAAATAATAAATAAAATAAACATATTTTTTATATTAATATTAAATTTCTAACTTGGTTGACTTTAGATACAGAATCTTGTATTATGGTATAAACTAAGTAACATAAAGATAGATTATTTTTTTTGGAGAAAATTATAATTTTCTTTTTATTGAGTAAGTATATTTTTTTTAGTCAATGATATAAAAGAATTTTATTAAGAAAACGGAAGATAAACCTAATATTTTTCTATTTATTTACGATATTGAGAAACTAAATTTACTTGAATTATATAAGATATTTTATATATTTACGTTTTAAACTAAAGTATTAAGATAGCAATTAATATTAATAAGTGAGTCTTTGAAATTAAATTAGAAGGTTTAATTTTAATGATACAAAGTTTGGTTGTAAAAGACGCGCTAAAAGGCGAGTATAATGAGAAAAGGGTTACATGGGAAAGCGTGAGGGTGGATGGGCAATAGAAGAAACGAAGATGATCCATAGGCAAACGTAACTGCTGCTGCACACATAAATATAATAACTAATGTTTTTTGTGTGTCTGAATATTTACTAAATAATACCGGATTTTTTTTTTTTTTTTTTTTTTGTGTGAAAGCCTTCCAAATTACGAGACTAATACCGAGTCAATAATATTCGACACCCGAGTTTACACCAAAATATTATACCAATTTACGTGTAATACGTCTCTGATTTTTTAATAATTTTTTTCTAGTGAACGGGCGTCCATCAAATTGGACGACCGTTCACTCACATAGACGTCCATCCATATTATGAAGGGGTATACCAGAGACAGACATCCCCAATTAAAAGACGTCCATCCATAAGTAAAATAGAATAAAATTTTTTTATAAAAATTAGAGACGGCCGTCCCTTCATTTGGACCGCGTCCCCTATTCAAAATATGAAAATAAATAAAGAAAAAAATTTGAGTACGGCCGTACATACATTTAGACGGAAAGACGGCCATTCCTGTCCATACTTTAAAAAAAAAAAAAAAAAACATTCTAAACACCTTTCTTTTCAATCTTTTCTTCGTCTTCCCCGTCTCCTCTCTTTTTCTTCGTTCATTCCCCCAGCCTCACCTTCCTGAACATTAGTACCTCAATACAATCCAGCAGCTTTGTTTACCAGTATCAACATGGCCCATAATGATTTCAGGCATTCCCTTGGGTGGACAAGGGCTCTTCTTGTCTGCTCAGTGCACATGGACCAGCAAAGCTCTTTTCATTGTTTTGGGCGTTTCTGGGGATGCAGGAGAAGGGACCAGTGATTTTTGCTGTGGATTATGAGTTTGCAGCACGGTCAAAGCCAACTGAGGAGTTTGTTAGCAAATACAAAGGTAACTATACCTTCACCGGAGGAAAGGCAGTTGGGTACAGGATTTATTTGCCATACAATGGACCTCCTTCATGGCTGAAGACAATCTTTACTTCATATATGGAATACTCCATCTTAGGGCTGAGCTTACCATCAGGCACTAACTCTTGCTTTCCGTTATTCACCGGCCTTCCTAATGAAATTGATTTTTGTAGCACTTACTCTTTCATCTCTCGACTGGAACTGAACTAAAATTGCAATAAGTAGGCACAACATGCACTAGATACAATGGTATGGAGGGTGAGATAAAAATTATAAAATCCCCTTTGCTCTAGGCTGAATCGTGCTTGGAAAGTTCATGTACCCATGGTATGAAGGAGGTCCATGTATGAAGCCAAAATCATACCATTTGGTGCTGTTGGCGAAGATGATTTTGCTCAATTAAGCTTGATAACTATATTCTTCTGTTCATCACAGTCACCGTTAAAAATTATTAGTTCCCACGAGATATTTATTACTTGCATTTACCTATGGCTTTGTTTATGAATTCACTGTGTTTTTTTTCATATTTATCAAGAAGGTGAGGCTGGGGGAATGAAGACGAAGAAAAAGAGAGGAGACGGGGAATGAAGACGAAGAAGAAGATCGAAGAAGAAAGGTGTTTAGAATGTTTTTATTTTTTTTTAAGTAAGGACGCCCGTCTCGTCCAAACTTAAGGGACGGCCATCCAAAATGTTTGGACGGCTGTTCCCAATTTTTTTTCTTTTTTTATTTTCATATTTTGAATAAGGGACGGCCGTCCAAAATGAAGGGATGGTCGTCCCTAATTTTTATAAAAAAAAATTATTCTATTTTACTTATGGACGAACGTCCTTTAATTGGGGACGTCCGTCCCTGGGATATGGACCCCCGTCCATATAATATGGACGGATATCCATGTGAGTGAACGGCTGTCCAAATTTGATGGACGGCCGTTTACTAGAAAAAAAATTGTTAAAAAAATCAGAGGCGTGTTATACGTAGGCCAGTACAATATTTCGATACAAAAATCTCGATGTCGTACCATTATTGGTACCTCTAATTACAAAGTACTTTCAGTACAATTTGATGATATTGTAAGTATAGTTTGTCTTACTTGAAGTCCAATTATCAGTTGGACAACACCTTATGATTATACCGGATATTGTTTTTAAGTAAATTATAATTAGTGGACACAAATTAAAAAATGAATGATAAGATCCCTAAATAATTACACTTGGTTTTTGGTCCGTTAGTTGATAAATGGTTACAAAATTTAAATATTTTAGTTTGACTTTGCCTTTCTCATCTAAACTATTCTCATTTTAGCCAATTAATAGAAAATTCGTTCTGTACCATGCAAGAGATTCTTTTATAAAGTGAAACAATAGGGAGAAACTTCGTGAAATTTATTTATTAGATCAAAGTAATTTTATGTATTTCAGTGTTTTGAGGTTTATATCAATCATTATTTTAGAAGTAAAGCAGATATGTGATTCATTGGGCGTATCCCTAAGATAATACCACATCAGTTATGGTTGAAAATTTAAATTATTTCTAAACACCACATCGCATTACTTAAAAACACGAAGTTTGGGATGTAACACTAAAAAAATGCATATCAATGCTCCATTAAAATATCAATCTCCTACATTGTAGTTTGAACAAGTTCTTCTTCTTCCTTTTTTTTTTTTTTTAATTGTAAATCATTGACCAAGTTACTGGCTAATGGGTTTCAAGTTCTCGAATTTCATTGTAGAATAAAGAAATTTAATGCTATAAAAAGTCATCTACCAAACATACCATTAGCGAACTATGACACTAACTCTTTACTTTCTTCCTTTTATAAGAAATTACCATAAAAGAAAATTTAAGAGCATAACTACGTAAAAATACACATGTATAACTAGGTATTAAGACATTGCATTGCAGCTCAATGTAAATTTATGGTGCATGCCTTTTATACAGTTGGTGTACAACTAATGTCACCAAGAACAGATTGACAACATTACAAACAACATGCCCACGCATCTTGTACTTGCTTTCCCCGAATATCGGAACCATCAAAGTATCTTTTTCCAGAATAACCATGCAACACCCCCATTCAAACAGAATGTCGTAGCACATTCATGAGACGGACTCCAGTCCAGAAAACTTTCGTTACAAGCCTAGACTTCTGGATCACCATCGTCCGTCCAAGATTGGATATGAATCGAGCATTTGATCTCGGTAAGACCAGCACTTGGGTCAGTTCAACCCAATAAACCAGCTATACAGAAAATGCGACCAAGACCAACCTCATCAATACTATTGAAAACCAAAACTCACAACTATTTAATATCAGTATATCTTATTTTCCATTTTTCCCCAGAGTAGAGAAGTTACTGGAGAAATTGCTTCAAAGATCAAATAGAAGTCCAAGAAACACCAAAAAAGTTAACCCTAAAAGTACAATTTCTATTAAGGATTTAAAAATGCAAAAGAGAATATTATGATTACAACCTTTGGGCAGTACACTTGTACAATGATTGGAACAACCGAAATTATGGAACCAATCAAGTTATGGATGACTTGCAAACAGGGCAGGATGGTCTCCTGCTGAGCCATGGATCAATACACTGCCACAACAAAGCAGAAAAATAAAATGTTTGATGACCTATGTTACTAGAGAGTACATGAAAATGAGGAGATGAGATTCTTACAGCTTTGTGAAATTTGTGTAAGCAAGGAAGGTGCCGTATGGTTTCTCCAATAGTTGGGGCATCAAGACAAATTGCACACGACTCTTCCAAGTTTTCAGTCTGTGTTAACAAACACAGCGAAAGATAAGAATTAGCAAATAAATCTGATGCACGATGAATACCCAGATATCACCGTTTGATAAAAGAAGAAGAAAAAGACAACCTAGTAGATTGAAATGGGTTTTGTAAACTCACACAGAAGCACAATTACCTGTACTGTTGACAGAGGCAAACTATTGATCTGATTGTCAGATGCACCATTTTGGTTATTATTGTCATCAAGGGCCAACAACATCTCATAATCATTTCTGCAAGAGAACAAATATTGGCAAGATATAACTTCAATATTTCACTTCTTTAACCATAGCTTGATAAAGAAAGAGGGTTAACTATACTATGTCCTGTCATGGTTTGGGCTGTTTCCACTTTACGACCTTCTAAATTTGTTTGCTATTCCTTACTTCCAGTTCATAAAAGAATAAAACACATTCAAACAAAAAACCATGCAGCTCGAAAACGGGTGCCTGCACTTTTATGATCTGACATTGTGGTGACTAACAAGCATATTTTTAAGTTTAAGATATTCATCTTTGAGCTCCATATACTAAAAGTTGGTATTCACACCCTTTCTATCATAAACAGGAGGCAAACCAATGATTGAGTGAAAATAGCTAGACCATTTAGAACACATGCGTCTCTTAGCCAAAAAACTAAAACCATGGAAAAAGGGGCAACGCTGTTGAAATTTTTTAAAAATCATATAGTAGTACAGAATGAGCAAATATAATATAACAAAATAGCAGTTAAAATAAATGAATTACACCTACAAAAAGTATAATATGCAATGCACTAAACATATTCCCAACACACTGTAACAAAACTCCAAAACTGTCTTTCATTATGTAAAATTCTGTGTTTCTAACATCACCAAAATGTTTATCCTTACACTACAAATAGTTTTTTTCTTTGACTTAAAGGAGCAACAGTTGGAAGCAATCTGGGGCAATCCTCCTAATCTCCCACAGAATTTGAAAGGCAAAGAACACAAAACCTAGTATTTTCTAATTCTTCATAACTTCAAAGCGAAACATAGTGCTACCCTTAAATCTAAGCTGAGGTGTTTCTTCCTACACCAGTTCTTCATTGAATCGACCCAAATAATAAGAAGTTAAATTGTTATTTTACATTAAATCTGTGTCCTGACTAGGTCCAATATGCCCAAATGAACACCAAAACGTGTAAACAATCCCAGTAACAAATTCAGGATAAAATGTCCAACTTATATCGATATAAACAATAGCTGATATGACCATATAATCCCTATGAAGGATATTTTGAAAAACTTGTGAGAAACTTTACAAAAGACATTGTCATCCATTCAAATGAATGCAAACTGATCTACCAACATATTCTTGGATTTGCACACCCAAGTAAAACGGTAATGAATTTTTATGATCGTCAAAAGAAGTCCAAATATTTATAAAAATACCAACAACTGAAGCTGAGAGAATGCAAATTATTAACAAATGAAGAAGACATTACTCGTTGAAATCACGCTGAAGTTGAGAGATGTGTCTGGCTGTTCCCCTATCGGTAAGATCCCCAACTGCAGCCTCCAATGCTTCCAACATATCAATTCTCTGCATGAGAAATCAAAATATCAGTTTTCACATTCAACACACCTGATGTTATGTAATGTGGTAAAACCTTATAAACTTATAAATTAAAACACTTTCCCCTCATTCCCCAACTCCACTGTGGCCACAAGGTCAGCATACCCTAACTTATTGTCCACTTTGCAAGGAGAATAAGTATCACATTACTACAAAGCCCTGTAATCAGTATAACGAGTAGAAAGCAGCAGAAACTTGGTGAAAGCTGAAAAGGTTCAATAACTAGATATATTTACAAATCAAAGAGGACCAGCTATTTCTGCCATGAACTAACTCATACGAGAATGGAAAAATATGAAATGAAATCAGACAAATGTAGAAAACAGCTACAGACCAAATCAAGATATTTTTAATAACCCAACTTGAAGCATAACAACTTCAACAATCATTAATAGGATTCAAGATGGCATTCAACACAAGGGTATGCATACAAAGCTGTTTTCAAAAAATTCATCCCAAAATATTAATATGCATACTTCAAAACAAATAATTAAGATCTTTCAAACACTTCAGAAGAATGTACACTGACAACTACGATAAATTTCAGAGGAGTAATTCACATCATAAGGACAAGCATCTTGGATTACAGACTCCCAAAAAAAATGCAACTTTATCAACATTTAAATATGTTTAAAGGTCCAGTAACCAACATAGCCAAGCCTTACCACTGTAGTTCTTGGCTAATGTATAAGATGCTTATATTTATTCATTTATTACTCTTACTAAACTTATCTCTTTCAGCATTAAATCTTCATGTATAGCTATCCCATTAAAATATTATAGTGGCAATAAAAAATTCATTTATCTGATTATATATGCAAGTGACATTTAATCAATCTTAACAATCAACTTCTCTTCTGTTTGCACTCCATCACATAGAATTGAGACAAGGGAAAAAGACAGAAAAAGTAACAAATAAATAAACAACACAAGCAAGGGACGGGACAAAACAGGGAAAAGAAATTATACCATGTCTAAGTCCATGTCCAAAGGAAACTGAAAATTCCTAGCTCTTGATGGTGCGGCACGTGATCGATTGACAAAACGACTCCTCAACTGAGTGACTCCATTAGAAGTGTGAACTCGGGCCCGAGTAGCCCTCCTATTTGAAGAATTCTGTAAGAGCCGCAACTGAGGCTGTCTATATGAATGCATTGATGTGGTTCTCTATTTAAGAATACAAAATACATAAAAGTTACAGGAAGCAATTAATACCATACTATAGATAGTTTACATAATTATTAGAATGGCAAGATATAGTCTTCTGAACAATAGAAAACAAATGAAAACAGTACAACACTGAAGGAACATATTTACTTTTCTACAACAAAATTTGTTAAAAAAACTATACAAATCAATACCAGTTGCATAGAATGTAAACCACAATAGGTTTGATAAAGCTTTCCAACTGGATTCAAATTAGATTTAGAAGTTTCAGTTCACTTCTAACTTAGACCTGCTATGCTATTTGTTCGGTTCTTAAATCTTGGCTCAAGGTAATCCTGGAATTTCTCAAATTTCTGGAATTCTCTAGAACATCATCACGTCATGAGTCCAATTTTAGTTGTAGTTGTCTTATTGGTCTTCTACAAGTAGTATTTACTACTTTTTCCAGGTTAGAATTTAACATAATATTGTGTCGATCTCTCAGAAGATTTGAAGCTTTTGCTTCAATATGTGATTGCCTTCTTTCATACATGTGATGTGTAAACAATTATCTTCATCTTTCTTATCACACAATCAGAATCAACTTAACAAGTTATTGATTTAACTGCAAACCTTTTGGAGTAATGCTGAATAAAGATCCTATTCAAATACAAGCACATGAAAACTCAAAAAGAAATGTTATTTTATGTGATTCAGCAGAAACAATATAACATCTTTCTTTCTCTCTATCTTAAATACATAAAACATGTAATATCAATATTACAAGGGAACCAACATCAATCAGAAATTAAAATCAGAGGGAAATGGCCTACTGAAGTCACATAGATCCTAAAATTAACCCAAATAAATCCATTCTGCTAGACTTTTCTCAATCACTCTGTTCCATCTCTCAAAATAATCTATTGTTTATCATAAAATCAACAAGAGTTTCCCTTAATCATGCATTGCATACCTCATAAGTATTGTATAAAGTATAGAAGCTAGAAATAGCAGCATTACGCAAAAGCTTCATGCTGGAATAACATTACATATGTTAAACATGTGACACCATAACAAATTTTCACCAAACAACTGTTTGGAACCCAAAAAAAAAAGATGCTTGCTTTCAAGGTATAAAATCAAGAGGTCCAGAGAGAAGTAATTACGACACCCATGCTACACCTGGCAACCCATTTTATTAAATTATGGTCATAAATTTAAAAATTTCTTGAAATTTGTCAAGTTTATTAGTGGCTCTGTTACCAGCCATGACAGGGATAAAAGAGTCAAACAAAACACAGTTTTCTGATTTTTACTACAGATGTCTGGGCCTGTAACAGCTACAGGTTTCATGACTACACAAAAAACACAATACGTCAAGAAAATCTAGTCATCCAGTCATTAATGTGAATTACATGTTCATTGTCATGTTATTAGCAACACAAAAAAAAAAAGACTTGCTTACAGGATGTGACACATGGTGATTAGAAAAAGGGAATGCATCCTCCTCTTGCTGCAGCATTAATGCTATGTGCTCATCAATCTGTTAAAAGTCAAGGAACATGAAAACCTAAAGCATCTGAAGGATTGAATTACATTGAGAAAGACATGCATAATAGGAGAGACGAACCTCGCCATCTCCAAATACAGGCAACTCATGGTACAACTGTTCTTGGAGTTCACGAGCCAACATCTCATCTGCTTCTAGTTGTCTAGCTCTAACATCTGAGTCATCATTGTCAGAGCAACCTATTACTTGGGAATCACTATGTCTCATTTCAGGTGACAACTCATCAATGTCCAAAATGCCCTGATGTTGATGACTCTGGCTTCTGGATGATCTTGCAATGGATGATTCACCAGAAGAACCAAGAAAAATAATTTCTGAGTCATCACAAACCGTTCTAGAGCTTTCAGTTTGATTTCTTGAAGTTGATTCATGCTTTTTTTGCCTTTTAGTCAGAGTGTCAGCAACTCTATGTGGTTCACTTACTTGGATTGGCTCTGACACAAGTCTGGAAGCTGTTTGAGATGAAGTCAGATCTCTAGTCCGATAGTTTCCTCTACTCCAGTTATCCCTACTCTGTTGTTTAATCTCAGAGCATCCAATATCACCATTTCTCCTCAAGTGAGATCCAGTTGCATTACATATTGGCTGGTCTACCTTCTTTGGCCGACTGTGCGTGCTTCTCCATCCCCCTAACCCTTCAAAGCATTCCGATGCAACTCCACTGGCTTGACCATTTCCATTAACTTCATTAATAGCTGCAGAACTGGTGCAGAAACGAAACATGCTTTAGGGTCTGGGACATAAGTTAGAGACAACTGGGCCACCAAGTTTATTAGTAGCATCATTAAATATGAATATGAGCCATACTGTCTGAGATCAAATATTTTACAAACTCTTCTGCTTCCTTTAGGTAATAATCCTTATGTGCTAAAGTTTAAACAACTCCAAGTACAAAGTTTATATCAAATAGTTTGGTATAATAACCAAAAACAAAAGAAGAGAAAAACTAAATTGGCCTAAAAAACAATAGACCAAAACAATAAATTTAACATCATGTCAACATTCCCTTTGTCTACAGACTCCTAAGGCACCTCAAACCGTTCAAAATCTATGCTGATAGATAGATTACAAATACTATTCACAAAAGAGAAATATATTTTGAGAATGTAGAGTTGGATGCAAGATACCATGAACAACCAAGAGAAGAAAATGAGCAAATGATTTGTCAGTTTAATTATTAGTGAACATTCAAGTTGATTAACATCATAAGCACAACAAACAGAATATTTCAGACAGGTGAGTAGGCACAAGAGGATTTCTAGGCCTATTTAGTGGTGAAAAAGAGAGGAAAAGAAAGTAGCGAGAGAGAACTCTGAATACCCTTTATCATTTACTTCCAAATACTAGGACCAGATTACCATACCAGCATATAATAAACAGTCTCAGAGCTACTGGAAAATCACATCTATAATTTAGTGTTTATCTTGGTTTTTCATAGTTAATCGTGAAGCATATCAATCAGCAGATAAAGCCATAGCTAATTTTAAGAAAAGAATTCAAAAGTGAAACAAATGTAGCAAAATATTATGACCACAGTTAATTGATTTCAAGGCTAATGAGGTTAAGTCATCTACAACTCACAAAAGAATGACTGCTCTCAATATGAAAAGTTAGACTCCAATACAAACAGGTATTTGTAATTAACAGAGCATATCCACATAAAGGTGCCAAACACACACATAGAGCAGAATTGAGAGCAGTCACTCAACCCTATAAAATTCTCCAACCAAGGATTATCAGATGTATGTGAGTAAAACGGAATAGCAAACACAAAAAACAATAATAGAAAACAATCTTTCGATAAAAACAAAGCCATGTAAAAAAATGTACACACATTACCTGCCAGACAATTGATTTATTTTTGGATTACGCTCCTTTAACATTGAAGGATAGATCATTATCCCTTTAGATCTATCAGAACTGTTGCCTTCAGCAACTATATCACTGATATTAGTCATACATGAACCACTGGAAGCCACACCCCTGCTATGATCTTGTTCAGCATCTTCAAAGCAGTTTTGGGAACATTCAGCTAATTGTTTAGCCCTAACTTCTATATTATGTGGAGAGATACACCCATTTCTAACCAATTTTTTTTGCCCATTGAATCTTGGTGACACAAGAGAATGACGATATGTAGACATTTGTTTTTCACGGTCATGTGGAGAACCATCAGAGAGATCAATCACTTTTTTAAGACCTGTAGCTGAAGCAGAACCATTGATTGTATTGTCCCCTATCTTTTCCTTCCCCTTACCAGAAATTGTGGATGTCTTTGGAAAATTTGGGGGCCAATGTAAAGAAGAACCACCATTGGCCACATTTTGACCTTCCCTTATCTCTTTATGAGGAAGCTCTTTCGATTTAGCACGTGATGAAGCCATTTCAAATATACTTTCGAGCCCATTCTGTTCACTTAAATCATTATCTTCTCGAAGAGTTGACGATTTAGAAGGAAATTTCGAGCACATTAGTTTCCCTTTATCCATGTGTTGTGAGTTCCTGGTCTCATGCTTTGTGTTCTTATCTATTACCGGTCTCCTAAATAAAGAAGCATTCCTGGAAGCATGAGGTTTTTCAGACGGAGATAAAGCAATGGAGTTACTGCAATGCTCAATTTTATTAACATTGCTAGTATTTCTCAAAGGATGTACATGAAGTCTTCTATTGCGCCCATTTTCACTGACCAACCGGCTTCTGGTCCTTGGCTGATTTAAACATCCTTCATCAACAAAATCAGGATTTCTCAAGCATCCAGTTAAGGCAAATTTACTTTCTTTCCCAACACAATCCCCAGCATTAATATTCTGTGTGGCTGATCTATCAGGAGTGTCAGGAATGTCTACTACCTGATCAATGTCCATGTGTTCCATCATGTATTGCTTCAAATTTTCCTGATAATAATCATCCAAAATTTAGCACAGTTTGGCTAAAAAGAAACTTAAAAGTCATGATAACTGCTAAAAATAAAAAATGTTACACAAATGATTAACAAACACAGAGATTTTGCACCTTGAAAAGTATAAAAGTTTTGATTTCCCATAACATAAACCACACAAAGAAAAAATTTATTCTCTTTTCTCTAATGTAAGCTACTGGATGAAAAATAGCAAGCATTGAACAATCAAATTATTGACCAAAAGACTTGCACATACTTAGCAAAACAAACCAGAAGTATGTGACTGTGTGAGGCTACTTTCAAGAAAGCTTACTACCAAAATTTATCTTGATCAGATACTGATGCTTAAGAAAGCAACAACAAAAAGAAAAAGTAAAACTGTAAACAGATAAAAATTTTAAAATCCAAAGCAGAAAAACACACTGATAATGACAAATTAAATAATAAGCACGGCTAATAACACATACAAATAGAGAAGTGGTATTACTCAAGTTCAATAATAATTAAAAGAGGAAAAAAAAAAAAAAAAAAAAAGGTACCATGGAGTAGCCAAACTACATCCCATAAATAAATATGACCAATGTATAAAATGAATACAAAATAGTAACATCATTGCTATACTAATAAGAAAACCCTAAGAATTAGTTTAAAAGCCCTAGAATCCCAATCAATGAAACAGAAGACAATCTAAACACGCAAAAATAAGATTAAACAAGTCTTTAGTGATAAAGAAGATATTTTGATCATGCAACTCACCAATAACCTATACCCAAAAGATGAAATTCTCGATAAAGTTCAAAAAACCCTTAAATACAATCAAAGTGACCCGAAAAAAATAATAAGAGTTCATACTTTATATGCAGCAACCGATATTACAGACCCATATAAAATTCGCCAAAATTTGAAAAAGCTAAATAAATAAAATATATCATAATAAACACAAAAGAATATATTCAAATCTCCACTAAAATGTAAAATCTAACGAAATAGGCATATATAAATTTAAATAATTTTAAATGATATTGAAAAGAATGAAAAAAAAAAAAAAAATAAATAAAAGATCTGCTTTCTCGCCGAGAACCAGAAAGATCCAATAATATATGATGAATAAAAAAGAGTTCAAAATAAATCTCAACATTAAAAGCCAGAAAAATAATTATTATATAAATAATAATAAATAATTAGATAAATAAGAGATGAATTACCAGATGTTGTTGGCGATTGAATTGAAGAGAAACGAAGGCAATGCCATTCACTGTCTGGTGTTAATATGCTCTGCTTTCGAGCTTTGCAGAGATGGCGATGGATTGTCTGGGTCGGGTTACTGCATAGTGTCCATTCTATTTCATTTGTGGAAATCTTGGGTAATTTTTGAGAAGCCCACCTTTAAGGCCCAAAGCTCGACTTTCAGAGTGTTGTTTTCAAATAAATAGAATAAACTATAAATTAATGTTGCCTATAAATTAAAACCACAAAAATGCAAATTTTATTTTTAACAGTTAATGTATTAAAAATTATATTTATTTTTATATTATAAAATGTTACTATTTTTTAAAATTTTTTGTTTATTCTGCTAACAATTTCCATGATTTAAGTTTCATATAAGTTATATTAAAAATTCTTTTCTAAAATCAGGACATGCCTTGTTCCCTTATATATATATATATATATACACAATATTTAGTCTTTAAAAACAAAGATACAACAAATTTTATGAATACCCGTTTGGTGAAAATTGGTTTGAATTGTTTTCAAAAATAGTATTCAAATATAATCGTAAAAACTAATATAAAATTAGAAAATGATTAAGCACATTTTCGAAAATATGAATCATCTTTTAGTTCTTAACAATTATTTTTTAATCATAAATCAATCAGATAATAATTAAGGGTGCGTTTGGTTTATTATTTTGGGTAAGATTTTAGGGATAGTATTGGATAGTTAGATAGGGGAGTATTACGAGATAAAATTTAAAAATTTATGAAAAAGCCCCTAAGGTTTGCTAATTTAATAAACACCCAAATATATTAAAATATTGTAAAATGACAAAAACACCCCTACCACCCGCAGTGCCAGATTCTGGCCACCATCGTCAAAATCTGGCCGAAAAATTGGATAACCACACATACCGGTCGGATCTGACGGGTATTCGATCGATATGGCCTTTTTCGGCCATATCCACCATGGATCTGGTAGAAAAATGCCAGATTTAAGGCCGGATGTGGCCTTCGACGGCCGAAAAAGGCCAACGACGGCCATAGATATGGCCGTCGTTGTCTGTCAACGATGACCATTTCTTTGACCGTTGCTGACGGCTTGATCTAGCCATTACTGACCATTTTCGGTGGTAGTGTGACTGTTGTGACAGATTCTGGCTACCACCGACAGTGGTTACCGGAATCTGGCAAGTATTGGTAGGTGAGAGTGTTTTTGTTAGTTTTTAAACTTTTTTTCTAGGGGATATTTAATGAAATTAATAAATTTATGGGGTCTAAAAATAATTAAAAAAATAGACTAATATTTTGGGAATAATGTGTCAAACAACATTTGAAAAATAAGATTGGGAATATGGATAAAAACTATAAACCAAACTCACCCTAAAATTTTGGTTTGGTTCATTGTGGTAGTTGGCTTTGATTCCCTTAATGAATATGAGCTAAGATTTGTGAAGACCAAAGAGCTAACTTTTGATCCGATAAGTATTATTTAATTTTGGCCCCATATATTTTTTCACTAAACCCTATCTTTAAGATGGATGAGGATAAAATTGTAATTTCATTTTATAATCATGTTTATCGGTTGTAACTACAGTGCTTTTGAAGAGAGAAAATAAACTTAGCAATGAAAGAACTGACCCCCACCTTTTACTTACCCAATCCCCACACCACCGTGGTTGACCCTCAACCTCACCAACCCACCGCCACCTCACTCCTTCCTGCCCCTGGCTTTGTCAAGCCCAGCCCAATCCAAGCCCACCTTACCTTGCCTTCCAAACCAAAAAAAAATTTCCCCACGTCGTTGATTCTGATGATACTTCTAACTCGGTACATTTGTGATCATTGAGTTTGTTTCCTTGCCAGCATTGGATTGTATTAAACAGTTGGGCGGCATTATTTTAAACTGAGAAATGGTATATCTACTATTACTCTTACAAAGAGTCTTTGTACAGAATGATGTGACAGCTATCACATCACTAGTTTGTGAAAAGAAAGAAAAGATTAATGTGAAACTAGTGGTATGACAGTTGTCACATTACTTTGTACAAAGATTTTTAGAGTATTTGTATCTCTAGCATTTTCCTTTTATACTAGATAGAAAGTCAAGGCGTTGCGTGGTATATTTATAGAATTTTTTTTACACTATTATTAATCATTTGTCTGACATTAAATTATTTATTTTGAAATTTATTTTATATTGAGTTGATAATAAAAGAAATAAATAATAAAGATATTATATACCAAACAATGAGTATTAAATTTGTACAAATTTTAAATATATATTTAATGTAGGTGTAGAGATACTAGATAGATTATAGTACAAATTTTAAATATATATTTAATGTAGGTGTAGAGATACTAGATAGATTATAGTACTTGTATCTCCTCCCATTTAACACATAAAACAAAATATTTGTTCTTGACATTCTTTCTTTTATCTTTTTCTTTCTGAAAATAATAATAATAAATTGAAGTTCTTGGCCAAGTCTTCTCGTGTTGTGTGAAGATATGAATAAGATTATTAAGGAAAGCTAATATTTGACATAATGTCAAATATTATGCTTTATTACAATCCTGACTTTATGCTAATCACATCCCAGATTGTGTGGGATTATAGTTTTAAAGCACATTATGCGTTTGTCTAATTTAGAGTTCTATACATGTATAAATAATTAAATAGTCCCTTATATGTACATTTCAAATACAAAAGAAAAATACAAGATTCCTTTTCTCTCTTCTCTCTTGGCATACTTTGGCGTCTCTGCCTCTCTTGCCTTCTCTTTCATTCCAATATCTGACATATCGCATTGCACCATAAAATTGTTTAACTCTTTATAGTAAAATTACCAGTACCAAAAATTTTCAGCTATATATCTATCAACTTAACTATCCAAAAACAAATGAACAATTTTCTTACTTTGGCACAGAAAATATATGTAAATCAATCTAACTTCTACCATTCAATCTTATTATCTCGATCTATCATTTTCTCTTCTTTCATAAAAAAGATAAGCCCAGGAATTTGAGTACTTGAGTTTAGTGTGGTGAACATGGTACTTGGGTGAAATAGCCGCAAATATTATAATACCACTGAGCAAGACTAAACCCAATCCTAAATTATTAACAACCATGGATTTTGGACACCGTTTAGATACACTTCTCCTGTTTTGTAAAAATGTCAGTTTCTCTAAAAGACCTGTTTTTGCAGTCGCCACAGCCAACCCATATGTGTAGAGACCAGGAAAATGTGTCATGGCAATACACTAATTCTTGATGCACGCACCTCCCCTCGATGCCAAAAGCTCAAGAAGCCCACTATCCACTGCAATTTCAATCAAAGTATCTGCAACAATGTTATACTATTCTCTCCAGTGTTATGTAATAGCAAAACTAATCTTAATTAATTTATGTAAAGTTTATAGTTATACACCATCCCCACAAAATTTGTTGCACAATAAAACTTTGTTTGCTTCTCCTGGATTTCTTCTCTTTCGGTAAGTTATTTGCAATTGTCATTTTTCAACAGTCAATTTTCACAAAATCTCAGACTTCAATTATTAAGTACACTCCAACAATATTTGTGCACACCAAACACATAATTAGCTTTCAATGATCCAGTAACTTTAAAGATCAAATTCAAGTTATATGTGATTTTAACACTCTTAACCTGTGATATTTGCAAGACTTGGAACTGAATTTGATGAGTCTATGGACTGAAAATCAGGCCTTTCTAGCTCAAATTAATCTAATTCTGAAATTTAAAACCACAGAAGGTGGAAATTTGAGAAATCCAGTTCTCTATAGCTGTAAAAACAGTAGATCTCTTCTTTACAGTCACCAATTAAACCATAAATAAATGAAATAGAACAATTAAGATTGAAACTAACAGAAGTCACAGAGTAAGATGATATTTAGATATAATAAAGTCACAATTTTTCAATTTAAGAAACAACATAAAAGCATAGCACAGGATAATCACCTGGGTGGTTTCAGGATTCATGGTAAAGATTGCTTCTTGCAAATTAACAAGAAACGAATCCATGATTAGAGCACCCAATATCATTATAACACCAATCATACTGAAATTTGGTGAAGTTTGTGCATCTGCTAAGTTAAAAAGAATCAACCCTAAAACTAAAAGTATTACAAATACATATTCATGAACTGGGTATTTTCATCTGAGGCCCCGTATGAATGCACCCATGACCATTACAGGCAAAACCTGAGATGGCAAAATAAATTTCCAATTATAGCCAAATTGATCCCATTTACTTGATTCACATAGCAAGAGTCAATGAGCAAATTTGAGTCATTTACACCATTACAGATTAAGAGACCCAATTTGACTATCAAACGGAAACTGAAGTTGTCGAAATGTCTAGTAAGGAAAAATGTTATTTTTGTCAACATGAAATTAAAAAAGTAATGGAGTTGAATATTTACCTTTGTGGATTTGAACATGAGCTATGCTGGATAGTTAAGAAAAGCCAAAGACCCTTTGGTAAGTCCATGAGAACCCATTAAGATGGCACAGAGCTTCACATAAGTCTTCCATGGATTCACCATCTATTTAGTGGTGAAACGTTGAAGATAAATGAGAACAATATAGACAAATCCTTCAACAAATGTGAAGTACCAACCGTAACTGGGAAAACAAAAGGTGTCAATTGATCAAAATTTACAAACTAATCCTTGAAATTTCATATCACAAATTAACAAATACTTAAAGAAAATCATTAAAATGTTACCAAATACAACAGTACTTATATGTAAATTATACCTGAATTGGAGCTTGTTGTATACACATTCTTACAAATTACGTAATAATCAGTTTACAATCACGCAAATCAAATAATTAATTACTGAAAAAGTTATTTCTCAACTATGTTTTTACAAAAATTAAAAACAATCCATCAAGGATCAAATATGAAATCAATAGCAAAAACTAAAGATAAACCCATCAGGACCATACAAATCATTATACAAAAAAACTAAACACAACCATAAAAAATAAACAACTTCTTGGCAAGATTCCGGCACAAATTAAAAGATGAAAACCCTAAGAGAAAATTGATCAATAAAACCAATCTAGAAACCAAAATTGGAAAAAGATTAAAACTTTCTATCAAATTAAAACGGACTTAGTGGCTACTGTGAATTGGAATCCATGGGCGATTGAATGAATTATTGAGGCGTGAGTGTTATCTCTGACCTCGCCTCACGCCCACCTATGAAACCTGATATGCTCAGAGAACTCTGAAAAAAAAAAATATATATCATAATTATCACAAAACAACGATTAAACCAATTTCCACAAAAAAAACCCATGAAGCAAAGGTCAATGCAGAAACAAATCAGGAAGCAAGTAGGTACCTTCTTTTCAATGGCGGTGGCAGTGTTTTAGCCTATTTGAAGCGTCCATCCCTCTGCACAATCTCATCTCCCCAAGCTTTGTCTCTCTCCTTTATTTTTCGTCTTTTTTTTTGCCTTTGTTTTTGTTGAATGAGTGGAGTTTTGATTTATGTTTCTTATGGTAGATAGTTTGTGGATGATAATGGGTGGGTATCAGCATGTTTTAAAACCCAACTCGGGGTGGAACCCAGTAAAGTTGTCCGGTCCCAGGTTGACCGGTTTAATAGCAGTCAAACTGGTTGATAAAAACTTTTAAATTTAGCAAATACACTCCTAATAGATTTGAAATTTAGCAAACACACCTCAAATACAAATCGGTCGGTGATTGATTGGTCGCGACGACACCCCGGATGCAACCCCAATCATCCCTTGAGCCCATTTTTAAAATATACCCAAGATCTGGCCGAAATAGGTTCAATTTCAGCCAGATCTCACCGATGTTGGCATCAGCATTCCAAGCCAGATCTCATCGACGTCGGCGTCGACAACCCTCCCTATCACCTAGAAATTACTCCCATCTTCCTCGCAACCAAAACTCACCTCACCCCACCCCCGTTAGCCTCGCCAATAGTTGGCAAAAGCTGGTTGTTGTCGCTGTCAGTTTTGTTTGATTTTCAGTCAATTTACTCACCAGAAATCAACTCCGTCACCACCGTTGCATTCATCGTCACTTTCTCTTCAAAAGTCCCAACATCTCAGCAGTCAATTGTTTGCCGATCATCCTCTCAAATCCTAGGGTTTTGGATGAATGGGAAAAATATAAACCCGACCCGTTGAAGCTTTCAGGTCTCAATTGAATTGGTTAAACCGGCCAAGCCAGGCTGGGTTTTAAAACATGTCGTATTAGTTGTTGATGTTTTATTGTTTTAATGGTGAAGAGATGGTTGGATAAAGGTGGGTTGCATTCAGGACAGTGGTGAAGGAGTAATTTTATTAAGAATTTATTATTATTATTATTATTAGTGAATGTGAAGCGTTTAGGTTGATCTGAATGTGAATAGAGGAGCGGAGATAGTAGGAAGATGAATCTTGGAGAAGCCAAAGAGAGAATAGTTCATTTAATGTGAAACTATGAACGAACGTGAATGTGAAGGGACATCCACAGCCATGTGTTAGAATCCTACATGGTAATATAATTTTAGAGAATCTGCTGGAATTTTATGTAGAATTTAAGAGAACCCTAAGTGGAGTCCATCATAACAAGGATGAGCTTGGGATTATATAGATACACAAATAGTACATGTTTGGTTTGACTAAGGCAAGGGGACTATTTTAAAATTAACAATAAACCAAAAAATAAATGCACCACTTCACATTCACATATATAAAGCAATACAAGCTTAAAACAATTACTGTGAATCGAATGCCAAAGTTTACAATATCTATAACAAAATATCAAAAGCCTCTGAAACATTAAATGCGAATGTAAACAGTTTCTACGAACCAAAGTGAATGTGGATGCGAGTAATTACACGAGCATTACATTAAATCGAATGTGAACGATTTCTACAGACACTATACCAATTAAGATCCAGCTAAAATCCTACATGGAATTTAAAAGATCCAGTTGAATCTATGTGGAGTCCAAATGGCGATCGCTAATAAGTGGGCTTCAAGATATATATATATAGATTTTGAAGATACCGACTACTATTACACAAAAATTAGTCTTCACCTCCCATAGGTTTATTCTAGAGTAATATTATGTTGACAAACATTTCTTACTCATTTTCATAACAACCCGATGTGTCAGCTCGCATGAGTTTGTGTATCCACTAGGTCCCACTTAACCAAATACAAGTTGTTAGTTGCGTTTGTGAGAAAATTAATGAGAAGTGTTTGTCAACTATCTTTATTCGTATCCAAACTGAATTATTTTAGAGTTTTCTACATTTTTGTTAAACACAATTTTTTTTAATATATTTATAAAATTAAAAAAATTGGAGAATTGTCATTTAAGTATCAACACGCATCCCACGACATTGTTAGTATCGTTGGAACGATCTACACAACAATAAAAAAAAAAAAAAAATTGTTGACAATTGTTTTAAGATGTAATAATAAGTTTAAGTTCGAGTCTCCTTCAATTATTAATAGATAGTCAATAATTTTTATCTAATGATAGTTTCAAGGCGTCAAAGAATTAGTTAAGATGCGTATATATTGACCTAATACCTTAATCATAAAAAATAAAATAACTATATAAATCTACATTTTGTAATATAAATAGAAGAAATTAAGTTAGAAAATGACAAAGAGGTTTAGGAAAAAAAAAAAAAATACATAAAGCTGTTCTCCTTTTTTTATTTTCCCCATATAAGACAATTTTTGTGATTTCCAAAACTTTTATTTGATATATTTAGATAAAAATTAAATATTTGTTTAGTTTGAGCTGTTAAATACTTGTTTTAGAATATAAAATCTACAATAAAGTATAAATATTACGCGTTTTCAATATTTATGCTATTTTTAATTAAATTAATCCTATTCGATATTTTTAAATGATAAAACAAATTTATAAAATAACATCTTTAACAAAGTGCGCCTTCAGCAAAATGGGCTTTTGGTTTTGGACAATAATCTTTAACTACAATGAAAAATAGTAATTTAATCATATAATTACTTCCTCTGTTTCGAAATAAAAACATTTTAAGTTATGGTACGTTTTTTAATAAATTAATTTTAATGTAATTTTTTTCTCTTTACTCCTTTCTCTGAAAATGCGTAAAAAATGATAATGATGATTAACGGAAAATAAATGCTTTTAAAGTAAAAGAAAGAGAGAGAGATAGGAGATGAGAGTGAGGAAAAGAAGAGAGAGAGAGGAGATAGGGACATATTTCGAAAAAGAGAGAGAGGGTTACATTCGACCACATTTATTTTAGAAAAATTTATAGGGCAGTTTGGTTTCGGCGTTAAGTGGCATTACTGGGGTAATGTCTCTTATATACTTATGTTACCACGTTTGATTGTCAAGTAATATAAGATACCAGTATCTTCAAATACCAATATGGTTACTATTGGTAATATAAGAGGTAATCTGCTTACCTCCATTTTCTTAGGTTTCTGAGATTACCGGGGTTATCTTTTTTGTTACAATTTTATCCCTTATTAATAAAAATTTTAACAATATACCCTACTTTAAAACAAATTTAATTAATATCCTATTTCAATTTACCTTTGTTTATAAAATTTTGGACAATTGCCCTATATTTAAAATAATTTACAGACCACCACTGCCACCAAACCACCACCACCACAGCCACCCAGCCACCACCGCCGACAGCGGTCAACCACTACGAACCACCGCCGGAAAATTGCCAGAGTCCCTAAAAACACTGGAAATTCGTGGGAGGCTCTGGGAGGCTTCGATATGCCGTTTTTGGCCATATTGAGGCCGAAAACGGCCATATCGAGCCAGATCTGGCCGTTAACGGCCAATCCCTGGCCATTATCGGTCAGGTCTGGACCAGACCTGGCCGTTAACGGCCAGATCTATTTTGGCCGGATAGATCTGGCCGGAAATGGCCAGATAGATCTGGCCATTTCCGGCCATATCTGGCCTGATATGGCCGTTTTCGGCCATCAATATGGCCGAAAACGGCCATAACGAAGCTTTCCGGAGCCTCCCACAGAATTTCCTTCTTTTTTAGGGGCTCCGGCGATTTTCCGGTGGTTTTCACGTGGCGGCAGGCGGCGGCAGAGGTGGGGGTGATTTCGTCATGAATTAAAGTTTTTTTATAAGTGGGGTGTTTTAGCTAATCTGAAATTTGGGGGTTAAAAAGTTATCAAAAATTAATAATAAAAATAATATTATATTAATATTTAAAAGAGGGTCAATTTATATTTAAATAACATACCCATCAATTTATTCCCATAACTAAACATATTAATATAACATACCCACCAACTAACCAAACATTTTTCTTAAAGATTCCCAGTAATCTTCTAGTAATCTATCTTTTCAGTAATCCAATATTCCCAGTAATCTAACATTCCTGAACCAAACGCCCCCTTAAGGGTAAAACTACCTTTACTTCAATCGGGAGGAGTATTAATTCAAAAGTCATTGGACCCCCCAAAAGATTTGATGTTAATCTTGATTCTTGTGCGTGATCAAATATATTTATTTGATTAAGGCCTTCACCACCCATGGACAATATCTCTAAAACAACATCATTTTGTTCACTTTCATTAATTCCAAATAATACAGCTCAGCTTGTATTTAGTACTCTTCATATGCAAAACGCCATTCTCTATTTAGGGTTTGCTTGAGAGCCTTTGTTAGGAAGGTAAACCATCATAAGTTCATAACAGTTTTGAAGGTAAATTATTATAACGATTTTAAAGAGTTTATAATAGTAGTTTTTAAAACACTTAACTTGTACTTGAGAGTTTAGTTTTCAACGGTTCTGATAACTTTTTAAAATGATAAATTTACATATATGTCCATAAAAATATTCCAACTTAAACATTTAAATGAAAAGAAGTAAAAATCAGTAAATCAAAGCCTTTCAAATATATATCAAACAAAGCACTTTTAATACCTACAATTGAAATGGGTTTTCCTTGAACTCAGCCAGACTACAGTTGGTGTCACAACCTTTTCCATGGTAACTGAAAGTCTACCAAAATTGCAAGCAAAGATCCAACCAAATTTTCTCATCCCTCTCAATTTTCCCACCAGTCAATGATACAATTATGCACAATTGCTTTAGGTGCATTTTCCTTCAAGTGCTTCGTGCTGACATGCATATTCTTCCTTTCCTTTTTATTCAATGTATTTATTCTAATCATATTGTAAAATTACTATGTACATTGTGAATAATTGTACGTCAAATTTTAGGGCAAATCAATCTAAAGAAGTCACAATATCTCAAATGTGATTAATTTTATCACTAAGTGAAAACCTAATTAAAAAAAATAACCTATTGCAAATCTAGGGCAAATAATTTAAGAAGAACAAAGGATCCTTCTCTCATTTAAGCATGACATGGTAAACCCAAACAAAAAATGAAAGAGAAAGAGAGAAACAAACCTTGTTGAGAGAATTGAAAAAGCTGGAGAAGGAAGAATCAAACGAAATATCATTCTTTTCCTTTGGCCCTCTATTATGTGA